TTTTTTTTTCATCTATTGTTTGGCTGCTTTAGATGAATCTGTTATGGATTTGGAAGAAGATATAGGTGTCATGGTACGTCACAATTACACAATCCACAACAAAGGGCCATGGACGGTTCGAAATGTCGTTGCGAAGGTAACATACGTTCATAATTTCCGAAAAAAAAAGGATGCCAACCATTTTTAAGTTTGATTGGCCTTACCAAGTCGAGTCTTCAAGTTCCAAGGGAAAGTGGGCACTTTATCTCCTCGATGTTCCCACTGTTACGATGCATAACACTGATGGAACAGTGGATATAAGAAGGTAACTCACCACAGTATTTAGCAGGTTGACATCATCACTTTCCACAAATCTTCTGGAAAGGAAATTTATCCGAATTCTCGAGTATCCGTCTTTATTATTAATTCTTTTGGATTTTTCTTTCTTTGAAATTCAATACAATGTTCTTAGTTGAAACGGGTCCACACTTCAACTACGTTTCTTCTCTGTTGCAGATATCATTTACTTTTTCAGCTTTGGCATAACTGCATAGCATCTGCTGCTAATGTCTCTTGAGTATAAGCTTCATATAATTTTCGTTTATAGTCTTGTCACTCGTTGAGTCTTTATTCCGTCTGCAGGAATGCAATCCTTTACAGAACCTTATTTAATATATCAGAACCATTATGCAGACTCTCTTAATTCCAACGTCCTTTTTGAAAATCTACTTGAAGGCTATGAAACGGATTTTTGAAAATATTAATCATGTCAATTTTTTTTCTTACCGCGGTTTTATAATTCGCAGGTGTCATGTTGAGAGAAAAATCGAACACGTTAATCCTTTGGACAACATCAAACTCAATACGAAATACACCACGCAGGAGACGGTATCCACGCGAAATACGATCAAACAGCGTGTGCTTTTCAAGGTACTTCTTTCAAAAAAATGAACAGCACTTCAAATGGTGGTTTTTCTCCACTGTTTTTTGACGGTATTTCGGTGCATGAAGGTTTTGTTGCTTTGATATGAAATAGTTTGCGAAATACAAAATCCAAAAGTAATGGGAAATTTATTTCGCGATACCTTGCTATGGTGTCTCTCATGTAAACGTTTCAAGAGAGGCACAGAAGCGTTGAAAATTGGAGAAGCAGACTTTTTGCGAAGACGAATTGAGCCTCATAAGAGGAAGGAAAATGGCGTTGACGTCTCAGTTGTGACAATTGTAAGTGTTAACCGATACATCCTCTTTTTACCATTACTGGTTTATCTTTGAGGGATGTGTTGAAAAGACTGCCAAGTGTTTCTCCGTTACGTGTCATTTCGACTTTATCGACGCTAATTCAGCACCTATGATTGATTTCCGAGCTCGCTTATGGAATTCTACTTTTATACAGGTGATCTCTTATTTTTCAGTAATTCGTCAGCCTTTTTACTGTGTCATGCCATCATAGTATCGACAAAATTTGACTTATTGGTTTACTATCATCTCATTTTAGAATCATAGAGAAGTTTTTGCGAAGTCCATTACCTATAGTGCTGAGAAAATTTTTCAAGCCATATAAAGTTATCTGCGAAAAAAAATTAAGTATGGGTTTAGATTCGATTACCAAGCTTTAGGATTACTCGGATGTGGAGTATGTCGAAATAGCGTCTTTTGGAAGAATAGAGTTGGATACGAGTCAAGGGATTGAAGATGATCCTTCAAACAATGCAGTAAGCGCGAAAACTGTCGCATATCCAGACAGGCCCGCACTCGGTATGTCCTGAATTCATTTGGGGATCCTCTTAAAATGGTCCATCAAACGAGTTATTTAGGTTCCCGTCCTGTTCCATGGTGGTTAATACTAGTCAGCATTCTCATTGGTTTGCTGATCCTTCTCATCGTCGTGTTGATACTTTGGCGTTGTGGTTTCTTCAAGCGAAAGAAGTATGGCGAACCAAGCCTTTACCGTGCTGAATTACAACACGAAAGGGAGCAATGGAATCAGACCCAGATGTAGCATATCTCACGCCGCCGCTGCATTGCTCGTGTTTCTCTTTTCATGACATGTTGTGCCATTTCCTGTTGACTGCATGATGTAACTCCTTGCTCAACAGATGTTCCCATCATCTGCCGTTTCTTATCTTCCAGGTGCTCGCATCTGCCTAATCTCATTAAGCTTTCATCTCTTTTGTTTTGCGTTTCACTCAGAGTCATATCTCCATTTAATGGGTGAATTATTTGCGGTGGGGCTTAATCATGTTGAAGTCGACACCGCATCTCTGTTCATAGGTTGATTGAATTGTTGTGTACACATGTGATCCCCTTCACTTTGATATTTATTTTAGAAATTAAATGATATCTCTTTCATCATACAAATGTCGAAGATTCGGAATGCGAAAGCAAATTCATTCCAACTGTGATTCCTCTTTGAGAAAACATATAGGTTGTTTAAATGTCCACGTGGTCCTGAGGGCATTTGAGAATGTTTACTACCATGATCAGGGCAGCTATCGACATCTTTTGATGCTGTTACTGTACTTAGGCCTTTCCGCTATAATGCTCAATCACAATTAACAGGCTTAACCCATTGATGACCATGCGACACAGGGTGGGCCACGCATTTGGAAATGTGTGGGCCAGTGTATTTCACTGGTGGATCACACTTTTCTGTCGCTTGTGTCGCTCCATTTTAAACGTCATATATTTTTGATGTACTCAACAAGTAAATTACCTTCAAACAAAAGTACATGCAGTGGTCAACGAAAATCCAAAGAGCGCATTGTCGGCGCCAGATATGTAAATATGCGCGGTCTCAATGGGTTAGGTCTCAATGTTGTAGTGATGGACAGAGAACGAAGGATATGGCAAGTTTCTGTTGCAAAACTTGTAACTGGAACCTTGCTTTGAGACTTAGAAAACCATCAGATTTTGTAGGTTTTCTTATTAAAATTCTCTCTCTTAAGTCCCAAATTTTTTGCCGCACTGTTTTGTAACACATGTCATACATCTACTTACTATGTCAAAGCATATGACAACTGAAGATATTCACAAAAGACATGATCGAGAAACCTTGGAATCTCGTGAAATATGAAAGTAAGACAACCGAGTACTAAATCATTGTCACCGTAGATCATGTTGAGAGTGTAAAATTGTGACAATTTGAAATTACAACCCTGTCCGTTACAGTTTTCTGTTCTTCATTCGGTGGAAAACACGCAATTAGGATCCGTTTCCTATTTTCTCA